GAAATTTCTATGATTGCTAAAGGTCCTATTTCCTAGGCTTTTTGGTCGCCGATTCAGGATTTTCGACATAAATTTTTAGCCACTGAACGGGTTTTAACAAAGAACGAGGAGAACGGTTGCATTCTTGACAACTTTGACATTTTGATGTACACACACATATAAAAACGTATGGCGGATTGGAAAACGTCAGCAATGAACTAAACCAGCGTCGTAGCCAGGCCGGCGCAATGGGTGCATTGAACCCTCCAAAAATTTCAAAGGTGCAACAAAATCGGGTTTCAAAGGTGCAACAAAAGAAAAATTTCGATTTTGCACCCTCCAATTTTTTTTTCTGGCTACGGCGCTGAACTTAACTATCACTTGGTGTAGCAAGTTCATTGAATGTGTGAACGGGTGGCAATATTCGATGACTTCAAAATCATATGAAAAACCACACAAGTGTTGACAGTGAAAACTCACGATTTTTCGAAATATTTCTTTGAAAAACAAATCATGGATGAAGCCTAGGCTTTGCAGAGTCCGAATATCAATAATAAAAGAAATTAAATGAATATAATTCCCAAACAAATAATGTATATAAAATGTATGGCGTTTCCAATCTCACCACTGTTCACCACAATCAGTCAAAGCATTAATGTGAATGACGCATGACAAAGTGACTTTGACAGCACACGCATATGAATTTTTGTCATGTTTACAGTCGGAAACGTCAATGCAAAATCTCCAGTATCCAGTTTCACTCTACTTTTATATTTTCTGAAAGGTGTAATCTTCAATCTCGGCCGCCTCTCTGCTCTTTTTTTTCTGCCCACGTTGCTTGCTATTCGAACGGCCAACTTTGATTGACCGGAGCTCGTGAGTGAGATTGAGAGGCAACCAAAGCGAACAAGGCAGAGAAGCAGAATTTCTCTTTCTGCATTTTCTGCCCACGCTGCTTGCTCGTCAAACGGTCAACTTCGATCGAACGTTTCCGTGAATTTTTACTTACATCTGTATGATCCGGTATAATTCGTGAATTGATTATGAAAGGGTTGGTTTCTAAGTACATCTTTTTTCATGGTATGTTTCATTACTGAAGCATTCATTTTCGAAGCATAATTTCATGAGGAAAAATATTTTTTCAATTTTGAAGAACACAGAACATGTTAAACTGCCGTTACATCAAAGGGTTAGACACAAATTCATACTCAACAAACACTCGGCGATACTAGAATCTCTACTCGGTGCTACTCGGTGCCATTTGGTTCAGTGTAAAGTGTAGTATACACAGAGAACTGTCAAAGTCAACTGAGTGTTTTGAGTAGTTTCGAGTTTACATTTAAAATGCATGGATGTACTCGGAACTACTCGGTGCAAAATGAGACAAATTCGTCAAAACTTGTACGTTAGAAAACTGTGTCTACCCCGTTGCGTTACATGCGCTGAAGAAATATTCTTATTACTTAATTATTTAGTTTTTTTTGCAACCTCTGTTGAAGATTCGATTGATCTTATATTTGATATGGCACAAGTTCTTACGACTATCGCTTTAATGAAGCCAATGTGTAAAATTCCTTACCTTGAGACTGATTCCTCTATATCAAAGAATTATTACATTGTGTGATTGTAGCGTGTTTGTGCTGTTTAGTATTCATTTATTCGATTGAGAATATCAGAACAAATGTTTTGGTGTTGTTGAAACTGCAAAAAAATGTCAGATGGAAAATTCGTGTTGTAGCTCTTAAAAAAGCTGTAAAAAAATTTCACTTCATGAAATTCTCTTCCATCTAGGTATTTAAGTTAATTGGAGCTGCATTTGATGGTGTTTTAACCCAGGAACATGGGTCGAAATATCGTTTCCGTGCATTTTCCCGAAATCCTCGGGCGGTACTATTTTTTGCTTATGAACCCCTAATCTGTTAGGTGGTCGACTTCCAACCCTACCCGACCATCCCATCGAACCGCCATTTTTTTCCATGGCAGCCGACTCCGGCGTCGTGCACCCACCTAACTTGACCCCATAACACATCGGTCAATAAGTCCCGAGCCTAACCACCAAGTGGCAACACTAATGTCAAACCCATATCATTTTCGAAAACTACAACCTTTTTTAGGAATCCAGTCAAAATTTGAGCCAAATCCGACCATCAGTTCGCTAATTACAGCACTTTAAATGAAGCAATTTTCCAATTTTCCAAAATCATGGAAAAACTGCATTTCTCCTCTCGATTTGACACATGTATTCCAGAAGAAAAACGAGCAGGAGTACCAAACCCATACTATGATTAGTTTATGGCATCCTTAGGCTTTCGAAATCAATCATTAGATATGGAAGAATTGAATTTATGCATAGCCATAAGAGCGATTTTGTCGATAAGCCTCCAAATTGTTCAAAATATGTGGTTTTGGAAGAAATCATTGCCAAAATCCGTTAAGTGATATCGGAATTCTCAAATGTGATAGTTCATAGATTTGCTAAGGCCATAGGGCAACTAACTCAAGCTATAGTTACAACTTTGCATGGATATATGCATATGAAATACTCAATCGAAAAAGCCTTGCCGCGTTTTTGGATATGGAGTAGATAGAACAGTTTTTTGGGGATTCGAAGCCCGTTTGGAGCTGTATAAGTAAAATTTGAATAGGGTTTTGCCTTTATATATTAGAATTAATGTATTTTGAGTTCATTTGAATAGATTCGATCTATAAATTGCGGGTAGAAATCGCCAAAAACGGTTTGTAGCGACCAAGGTCGCAAAATATGAGTTCGGGCATTATTAGTGGATTTAGGTATAGAAAAATATTCGCGAACCAGTGGGAAAGATATAAAACAACATGAAAAGTCACTTATGCATCATTTTAGACCTATCCGAATGTCAAATCTTGATAAAACATAGCAAATTTGGCGAAGAAAACTATGTTGTTCAAATGCGAGTTTCATCCAGGTCAAAGAACTGTTTATATGGTGATATAATTGAACGAAATTGGTTTCAAACTGCTTCACTAACCATTGTATTTTTTAGGTCTGGTCATTCTCTGAACTCTCCACATGAATATACTTGAATACAATGCATCAGAAGAAAGTTATACCGTTTTAACGGCAAAATTGAAGCATTTTCGGGAGTCTTTCTCTCGTATAGCTGTAACTAGCAAACTGATGGTCGGATTTGGCTCAAATTTTGACTGGATTCCTAAAAAAGGTTGTAGTTTTCGAAAATGATATGGGTTTGACATTAGTGTTGCCACTTGGTGGTTAGGCTCGGGACTTATTGACCGATGTGTTAGTCATCCGCCGATTTTCGCAAACTCACATGAGTATGCGGGTGCGAAAAACGGGGCGTAACGCAGAACAGAGGTGCAAAGGAGGCGACGGCTGCCGGGGTGGCAAGTGCCAATCGGCGGCAAATGGCGAAAAACCACAGAACCGTCCAACAACCAAGGGATCCGAAGGCAAAAATTGGTACCGACCGAGGATTTCGGGAAAATGCACGGAAACGATATTTTGACCAATGAACGATCCGATAAATCGATCTATGCTTGGAGAACACTTAACAGAGGCTATGCGGTCAAGGACAAACTCATTGATATTAAGACAAAATTAACATATTATTTTATGTAATTTTTATTACGAACGAAGGTTGTTAGTGTAACAAATGAACAGAATTTTTGAAAAATATGCCAAGAAAAGGGAACAATTTGTTCATTCCATGTTCCGAACAAAGCATATTATAAGGTGTTCGAATAACATAATAACCAACGGTAGGATAAGTAAAATAAGACGATAAGCACTTTGAAGTGCTTGAGATCCTAATGACTGGAGCATGTAAATAAATGCCATGAAGTTGTTCGGTCGATGCAAGTCAATTTGCTAAATGACATGTAGTTCAAATTATTCATTTTCAAAGGTGTCACTTTGACAACGACAATTGTACCATTTGGTAATTAGTATTATTTTAGGAGGGATCTGCTCACAGCAAATCAAATTACCAGTAAATTAACAGTAAACAAAAAACACACAAAAATCAAACATGTTTTTGTTAACATTTCTTAAGCATCTGCCAATTTCCAAGCGGCACATTTTCAAGTGTTTTGTAATTTGTTTATTTTTTGCAATTTGTTGCATTCCACCAATTCGAAACGTGAAAAATTTGTTTCTGTCGTTTGTTTTCTTTGTCAATATAAAATTAATTGGTTACGTCAATAAATGTTTATCTTTACTGCGATTGTCGAAAGGAGTATCGTTAGTGGTGGCTTCAAGTAACGAACTAGTGCCGATGATTTTCAAAGTCAACACTGAATATTTTCACGAATTGTTTGATTGGTTAGCGATAAAAGAAATTGTAATGATCATTCAGATATGGAGAGAATTAAGTCAAACGTACCTCTTTCGGAGAAGTGAAACAATGCATGCTAAACACTCATTCGATGGAATTTTTTATACAAATAATTTTTCTCGAATTGTTGAAAATATTAAAATTCGATGCAAAAACTTTGGTTGCTACTCTCGGTCTAATTCATTACGATCGTTTTGGTCTAGAAGCATCATATCGTGTGGTGATGAAAAAACGAAAAAAATTAAACGCTACTTTGACTGTGCTCAGAATGATAATTCGAAAATTCAAGGAATTCTTAATAAATTTAGCGAAATTTATACCACTTTACTTCAAATTGGTTCACTTTTAAAGGAAATACCATCAACTATGACGAATTGGATATGGCAAATGTACCGAGTTGGCAATAACTTCATTGAAAACAAGAAAGTTTTGCGTATTTTGGAATCCAGAAGACCCGAAAAATTGATGCAATTATGAGAAAATTCGAAAATGTGGATGGAAACTGTCAGTGATTGGACAGTGTGAAAAAGTGTTCGATTTTGACCCACACAATCGTCTTTCGTAATATTCTTACGCTTTTAGTTTTGAATGTATTCGTAGGAAACATCTATTTTTATTGCACTCAGAAATGCTTTTCTACACTCAGAAGAAAACTTTTGGATTTCTTTCAATAAAAACTGTCAATAATTTTTAAATAATATTCCATTTTATTTCGTAAATAAATGAATTGATTTGCGAAAATTTTACAATAATAGAAATATACATTTATATAGCTTAGAAAACTGATGTTAGATTTGCATTAATACATTTAATTCTGGAAAAAAACGTCATCAATTTGTGAGAATTTTCACAAAAATTTGATTAAAAATAAAATGTGTTGAATCGAAAATTGCGGGGAATTTCTTAGTGTATAAGAATTGCCTCGTGTTTGAGGTTTGGTTAAGTATTCAATAGCAAATCGAGTATATATTTCATTTTTTTTTGCGTTTACCTTACATATTTCAGTGAATTGTTTATTTTTTTAATCTTGTATTGAATAAGTAGATGGAAAAAAAGTATTAAATAATTATAACGTCATTTAAACCCGATAATTTATACAAATTTCAAATAGACTTAGACGATAAATTGATGGAAGACATGCGAATCTTCATTTACTCTCGATGTATTTTTATTTTTTTGTCTTCGCGTTTTAATGTGTGTGCACTGTGCATTCATTCGCGTCGATCTGGTCGGCTCATTTGTGCCATTGTGATGTATTGACGGATTAAACGCGATATCTCGTGCGCTTGCTCGGTTTGTACACGAATCACTCGCTGCTGCATCAAATTGCCCATTTTCATATCCAAGTATAATGCACCATCGTCGGAACGAACCTGTTGTAATTCAAAAAAAAAAATGAATGAAATGAGCACATTGATTTGGAAAAAAATGAAATTAATAAAACCATGAACTATATATACAATTGAAAATGTCTTTCAATCGATTTAATTTTGAATTTTTTTTCTTCTTATTAATAAAAAGTTTTTCTTTCAAAAAATTATGTTTTTCTTTTGTTCAAATAAAAAATCTATTTCGATTCATACCTTTCTCGTTGAAATGACTTCCATGAATGGCCAATGTCGTAGTGTTTCGTGTGTATTTGGATCGAGGAACAAGACACCGCGTCGATTCAATGCTAAAATGATCTCCTTCCAAATTGGACTAGAATCATCGGCCAAACCATCTTCAGCCCATACTTTGCGCACGGCAAAGAAGCTACTGCCAAACAGCGGCCATTCAGCGAGAACGGCTAAAAATTGTGCTTTAACTTGAACGGGTTCCAGTCCAGCCACCGATGGCCAAGCGGATTGAACGAGTGCTACCCATTGAGCTGGTCTCAGTTCGCGTATGCCTAGGGCGGGTTTGGGCAATAGGAATTTGATTTCTTTCATTGCTGGAACATGATTCAAATCAGCGGCACGATGCAACAGCACTGCAATACGAGCCATATCGCGAACGACATCTGGAGATGGTGCACCACCGCCGGGCAACTCAAGCAGTAAACCTTCTAGATAGTCTGGGGCGACTTGGTTGAACAACACCTCAACATACAAAAGTGTTGGCATTGGATCGCGTTTCAATGGGAAATGCCAAACTGAACGACAGAATATCAAATAGAATGGTTGACCAGATTTAAGGAGCTCAGTGGTTACATCCAAAATGTATTCATCTGCTGCCAATGGCATTGTGAAAGCATCCCCTTGTACAATGCAATACAATGAGAACTCCTGCTGCTCAATTGGCGAATCAATTCCAAGTAAACCACACAGTTCAGCGATTACATCAGCTACCACCGTTGAACCACGAGTATTTACAACACGCTCAGCACCACCAGGCAAACGGTAAATTTGACGACGGGCCGATCTGAAAATTTATAAGGAAGAAAGTTTAGTTTTGTGGACGAAGATTTTTGTTTGTTGAAAATGGAATTTGCTATCAAATTTGAACTAAAATTGAAGTTTAGATGAAAAAATTCGGAATGAAAACTCTTTTTTGCGAGAAAATGCTTAAAATTGCAAAAATGATTTGATCGATTTTCCTTACCGTCCTGCGCTAACAGCTGTAACTTCCTCAACACTGGGCACATTCTTACGACCGCCACATCGAGCTGTTTTACGTAGATTGGACAAACACACTCCTGCAGTTCCATGGGCAGCTCGGCGACGATCTGAAGCAGCAGCTGTTAAATGTTCCATCAAATATGGTTTCAATGCATCGGAGCAACTGAAATATGCGGCCAAAATGCTCAATAGACGCCAGGCTCGTTGACATGAATCTGGATTTGCTGAACGATTTCCTGTTGTTTGTTTCATCAATTGACAGTAGACTTCGTCGCGAAGTGTTAGATGTTTGTGACAGTGCTGTTTGGAAGAAATCAATTAAAATTAAGCATTTTTGATGTAAAATGGTAGAAATAATTAACTCATATTTATTTATCAAGTCTAATAGACGGTCCTTTGTCAAAAATGAATTGATTTCAAGCAATTCAGTTAATAATTGCAGAAACTATTAAAATAAAACGTAAATTAATCTGAACGAAATGGGAAAAAAACTCGAAAATGAATCTCAACACTCACCATTAAAATCGTATAGACGCATTTGACTTCGGTGAGCTCTGGATCGGGTGGTAAATCTCCGCAATACCGAAGAATGCATTCGAAACATTCGATGGCCAATGGTGATAGTTCCACTGGTAAGCGTAGCAATGGGCTACGAATTGGACTTCCTTGCCATTTCACTAAGTCACCATGCGGCCGCGATGAGGTCGAACGCTTCTTGGCACGGCCATTCAATTCATGGTCTTCGATCACTTGATTGCTGTAAAAACAAAAATCCACAAAATTAATGAAACGAATAACGAATTAAAAACGAAAAATTATTAACAAAATTGGTCTGCCATTCAGATAAAAAGAGCTTATATATTGGATTTCATGATGGGATTTCTCTATTTCAGGCTGAAATTTTCAGCAAATGAACATGTGTCCCAAATTTCTAGGCAAAATGATGCAACGTCCCCATGTGTGCTCACTGTTCATATTAGTAATTAATTTGTGCTGTGTCATTGAAGCGCTCGCCAAATGATTTTGTGGCGTTTGCTATTTCTTCAATGAACGTTGACCGTGGGTTCTTCAAAAAAGCGTGTCATTTGTTACTTATTTACAGTTACGTGAAACCGTAGAGTAACATGTGATGAGGTAATTTAAACACTATGCATTATGCACACAATTTGAAACTGGTTTTTCTATACGATAAACTCATTGGCATGGTGAAATTTTATGAATCAAGTTGATATGGTATTGTCTATCTCTCACTTCGTTTTCGGTCATAAAACTTCGCAAATGAACCAGATTAATGAAATAACTATTAATGTTGGTATCTTCTCTTTTATTTATTTTACTTTTTTAATGGTGACATTTTGTTCGAAAAAGTTTGAATTGAATCGATTTGGACAGTTTTCTCCGCCACTTTGTTTATAAAATGGACTTCTCACAATAAATCCGATGAATTTCATTAAATTATGACCTTAGCAAAATAACTCATGTGTGCAAGCTACTTTATCGATATGAAATGAAACTAGTTTATTAATGCATTTGAACTCTTGCATGGAAATCAAAGGTTGCTGTTTTAAGTGTGAAATTTCAGAAATGGTGGGAGTTCTCCTGTTACCAAAAGGCACGCATAGTACATAAGAGCCAATGCAAAAGTCAATTGATGGGATGCATACTCAAAATTACGACGACATCGTCGTAATGGGGGGTAAACCAAACTAATTGATGCGCATAAGTAGCGCCACCTCTAATGATTACGGAGAGTTACCATAAGTCGTATGCAATTGATATTGAGAAAAAGAAGAAGAAGTAGACATTCTATTCGTTTACATTGCAATAATGGCAATCAGTAGAGATGGTGCTCATGTGCCGATCATATCACTGTTACAACCCTTCGCCTGTTACAATTGTAAGGAATATAGCTATTGGAAATTATTTCCAAGAAGTTTATTTTGAGATAAATTTCTCCCTTTTCTATAACAATGAAAACTTGTTCACTTTCATTTGTAGCAACGTGGGCCGATTTTAAAAACCAAAGCACGGAATTGGCAATGTTTAAGCGGAAATTGAACAATGTGCTTTCAATAGGGCATAAAAAGAAACATTCGTTTCGTGCCGACTTCCACAGTATGTTTAGCTTCCACAATCCATACCCCCGTTGATTTTATGTATGAGGACCGCCAATTTTTTGGCCTCCAAAAGCTCCCGAGCTAACCATTTGTCACTTTGACGGTGAAAAAAATGACAATTTCCTAGAAATCCTACAAAGTCTCATTTTAAGACACTCTATTGTCCTAATTTTTAGTGATCCATTTTAATTTTTTAACTGGAATTCTAAGTCATTCCACCAAAATCGTTCGAAATTATTTTTTTCGTACGTAAGACCATATTGGAGTGAAAGAGAGAGATTCCACTATTTTTCAGCACAATCCACTCTTCCTTGAGTTATCGGAATAATTCCGGTTGCACGCTGAAAAATAGTGGAATTTCTCTCTTTCTCTCCAATATAGTCTTACGTACGAAAAAAATAATTCCGAACGATTTTGGTGGAATGACTTAGGATTCCAGCTCTGAGCTGAGCTGAATTTGCTGACTCAGGCACCTGAAGCGGAATTTTACCGCACTTACGATCAAAATTGTCATTGCCAGCTGTCACCTATGTTGTTTATCCATTACATCGTGGTGTGCGTCAGGTAGCAATGACGCAATGACAATTCTGCACCGTAAGTACGGTAAAATACCGCTTAAGGCACCTAAGTCAGCAAATTCAGCTCAAGCCTGCTCAGCAGTCAATATGCACTCTCTGATTTTTACCACAAAATGTCTACCTTTCAAAAGCATTTTCTATTCGATGCTCAACATCGATCATTTTTACAATGGCATTTTCTATCTCGTCGACAAATTTCTCTGATTTAAAACATTCATATCACAACAAAAGCAAATAAAACATAGAAATATATCACAAATGAATGTCCAAATTTTAAACTATGAATAGCACATCGTTAATTGCTTTGCACTGTTTCACAACATTAAATCCAATTTAAATCCAGCAATTTCGTCGGTATTGTTCAGTTCTTTTCAGATGTTTTCAAAATTCATCATATTTTGAATTCGATCACTTCCCAAAAATTCATTCGACTTTTTCCTTGGAAATTTTGATTTTTTCTTCCAAATTTCACAAATTTCAATGGTTTTTGACGGTTTTTAACTTTTTTACTCATTGAATTTTTTGGCTATTGAAACGTTTTCGGAAGATTTGTTTAGTGTATTTGGTTTTAGTTTGAATTTCCTTAGAATCTGTTCGGTTTTCTTCCATTTTCATGGATTTTCTTCAAGCCTAATCCTCGAAATCATGTTCAAATTTTTATAAAATCAATTCTTCAAATCGCCAAACAAACGATCATCACTTTATCTTGAAAAACGTCCAAAAATACTCTAAACACAAACTCTCGGATGGGTCCGAGTAAAACGTTCGTCAGTTTTCACTTTTCTTGCGCCGAAAAATAGCATGCTCGGGGCGCTTCGACGAGAGTGAATGCAAAACATCGACTGAGTTCGTTTTTGCGGTCGATTTTCATGTGTTTCAAACTTCCACTTCCACCGAAAATGCAGCCACCTCAATGGATCGTCTTCAGATTGGGTTTATTACTTAATTTTCGTGAATGAAGTCGAACAAAGGTGTCATATATGGATTTTTGTATTGTTATTATGAGTACGGACAATGGGGCATGATCCCAGATAAACGGTTGTTTGAGCCAAGAGTGAAAAGTGTGAATTTTGGCCATGAAGCGAGATATTAACCTGAATTTAATTTTCACTTGCTAAACACAAACAAACAAAATTGTGACGAGACAATGCATCCGAATCGCATTGACCAGCACCTCTTCGTTGAATGGCATGCAAATTCAAATGAATGAAAAAATTATTCAGATTGTCATGGCAATGAGGCGCAGTTGGGTGTGTAAAGCATAGAATTCGTATGCAAATTTCGCTGAAGCCACAACAATTTACCGTGGCGTAAGAGATACGCATTAAATTTTATTTCTTGTTTTAGTATTGGAAACTGAACTGTGATCGGCAGCAATCTTTTGAATCGACAAGAGTCTAATAGCTGATTTATAGCATCTTGGACACCTTTTTTTTGTATCCCGATAAAACAATGGAATACCTGTTCGCCCAAAAATGAAAAAAAATTGCTTCTTCACTGATCTGAATTGACTTGTTGTTTGAATATTCAACCATTCATAAAAATGGTAACGACATTGCTCGAAGAAAGCCACAAAAGAAACAAACAAAAGAGAGCCCATTGTACGACGACGACGGCGACGCAGTGCGTGCTAACCAATGTCTTAATACCTTTTTTTTTTAATCAATGTGCATTTCTCGCTCGTCTCGCTTCGCTGCACATACTAATTTTCTCTACTATGCTTGCGACCGAACGTTTGTGCGCTCCGTTTGTTTACACTTTGTAACGAGCATGCAATGATCAATCACTTCAATCATCTTCAGGCCTATCATAGACCGCCTTTGGAACAGGCATTTACCATTTTGATTGAACTCTAAATTATGCTCGAATGGGCAGTTTATTGCGTCTAATGGATTTATGCTGTCCTGTTGAGTTAACATTTCACGCAAATAAAACTCGATAAAAACAGATCCGTAGGGCCCAATAAAAAAAGATCCGTAGATTGATTCGATTTCCAATCCAAATGTAGCACATTTGTCAGTGACAAATTGTCACACAATTGAATAGCATGAGGTTTTTGTTCAAAGAGCCGAAGAAATTTCTCCATATTTTATGCGGGTTTTCGGTGGAAAAATGATCGAATGAAATCGGGGATTTTTCTGGCGTTTTTTTGACGATTAAATTAAAATAGTGAGAAGAATAGCATTTTCTTAGCCGTGCTGATTGAGTTTTTTGTTATTTTAATGGGAATTTGTTCATTTCTCGCTTCATTTTTATCGATTTTTCTTTCTTAAAGATTTCTTTGATTTATTTTTCAGTTGTATCGTAATTAATTTCATGATTTTTTTTGCTCTTTTTGAGCTTTTATCTATTTTTTCAGGTTTTTATGACAAATTTTTGGTTTTTATGCTGATCTCAATAGAATAAAAATGATTTCTACTGTGTTATCAATGACTTAATCAGTTTTCAGTGTACTTTTGGTTGAAGTATCGGAAAAAGCCTCGATTTGAATAAATTTCCGTAAAGCATGCTTTACAGATGCATCTGTTCTTTCTTCTCGTAATACTAATTATTATCTGTCGATTAAATCAGTTTCGACACATTTTCCCATTTGCATTTTTATCTGAATGGGCTATTTTTCTATTGTTTCGTCATATTTTTTTCCCATGGTTGAAAGATTAACAGAATTATGTATGTGTGTTCAGCGACACATAATACTTGTGTGTGTACTCGATTTTTTTTCCAGTCATTGGACTTAAGCGAGTACTGAATGAATTGAATGTGAGTTGGTAATAAATCATTCGGCGTAAAATCAATCACGTAATAAATTTCCACGGGTGTACATTTCAATTGAATCTGATTTGTTTGCATTTCGTATCGATAAATAATGAGCCAATGAATATAAAAAAAGCGCCAGACAATACATTTAAATAGCCCTATCTCATTGAGTTTAATTGAATGAGAAGAAGCGTTTGGATTAAAATAGAGGAAGATGTAACACATTGCATCCAATTGGTGTATGAGAGGGGCTTGATAAAGTGTTGGTAATTTGTGTTGCGCAACCTATAAAATTATCCATTTTCACAACGAAAACAGTAATTAAATCATCGATTGAAAAAAGAAACCAAGAAGAAGAAGAAGAAGAAGAAGAAGAGAGGCGATAAAATTCAGAGTAGTTGTTTTCTGATCAAATGCCGTTTAAATATCGCACCTTTCTGATGAACGAAAAACAAAAATGTATATGCAAAAAAAAAGAAACAGAGCAAAATACACGATTATGTAAATCGCATTACAAAAAGACGTTGAATTTCCGCTATTCGGATTATTATTTATTTCATCGGGCGGTTTTCACGCATTGTTCTCTTTCGCTTGTCATGTTCATCCGCTTGTTGTTTTGTTTACCCCGAAAACACATACAATCGTGAACACACACACACCCAGACCAAAAGAAAAAAATGAAAGAAATTAATTGCCATTTCATTGTGTACCAGCAAGCGTTCAGAGAAACTCGCAGAAAACAACGGAAAACGAGCGCAATAATGTCTTCATGGCTGGGAATTCGTTTTGTTTTTGATCGTTTATAGCTGCTTCACTGACTGGCAATAATTGAACTGAGCGAGTTAATTTCATTTCATGATTCGGTGAGGAAATCACTCGAGCTCATCGATTTTCAGACTAAAAATATGTGCAGTCGCAGTATTTCATATGGTGATAATTGAATTTTTTTAACGTGTTTGTGATTTTGAACTAGACCCGAGCGATTGTGATTTTTGTGAGGAAGTTGCATTGAAAATCTGCACTGTTTTAAGAGACATCTGATTGAATTCAAGCCAAAAAAAGTCGTGATTTTACTCGTAACACTAAAAAAAACCGTTACATTTCGAATATGAATACCGGCTGCCGTTGAACTTGAAAAGCTGTCATAAAACTCATGATGAAGACCATAAAATTTCTCATAAAACTCGATATTTGTCTGGTGACAAAACAAAACGAAAAAAGCCCAATCGGATAAAAGTGTAAGTCTTCCGCCAAATTGACGCGTGTGTTCCTTTTTCGTATAAAACACAAGAAAAATGGCGTTTTCGGAACGAAACAGCTCCATCAAATTGGCAATTACACATATCAACGGTTTGAAGGGGAAAAAGAAATTCGAATCGTAATTATGGTTTTTGTTTTAAGTCAATTTCTACGATTATTATTAATGTTTTTTTTTGTTTGTTTGCGTTTCGGTGACTTTTACTTTTGTTTTGTTCGCTGCCATTTTCTCGTTATTGCTCGCAATTTTTGTCATTGCGTTGAAAATTTCGAATCGAATATTAACATTGGTTGCTGTTATTTTATCGGATTCGTTTGGTTTTTTCCGACTTTAATCAACTTCTATTTCCGACTTATCAAATGGAGCGTATTTCGAAACCAAACTTGGAAAATGGTAAATATGGCAAACGATTCATAATTGGAAATTGGAAGATAAAACAAAAAGCGCAGTTGCGCTTGCTACTTACTCATCGCGAAAATGTTGCATGGCAAACTGAAGAAGTGTGTACTTGGCATTTGTGATTGGTGTGGGTTGCATCGCGCTCAATGCCGAGAATTGTTGCTGATCATCCTGTTCGTCCGGATGCATCAGCAATTGGCCATTTTCGTGGCCATTCTTGTGATGACCGTGCATTTGCACGGGCGACATCGAATGCTGTTGCGGCGATTGAGCCGGCGAATGATGGGATTTTCCGTGCGGTGACTCTTGTGACACATAGCTATGCGGTTGCGATGAATGCTTGCCATTGTGTTCGATGTGACTGGGAATAATTTCGTCGATACTGTGATGACGATGGCTCTTCTCATGGTGGTTATTATTCACTGTCGGCGACCCAGGCGATTTTACAACACCGCCGTGAACTTGAGCTTCGAGTCGTTCGATTGGAACATTCAATGTTTGCGCAGCCGCTCGGGCTCCAGATGATATTGTCGATGCCTTTGATTGAACCTAGAATGGATTCGGATTTGGGGGAGAAAAGAGATTTGTTTATTAATTTTTATATTGGTAAAATTGCAATTTAGGGCGAAAATTCAAGGGATTTTATTCCTCTACGAAAATTTATTCAGAATTTCAACTTTCTGCAGAAAAACATTTTGTGGTTCTCCATTTTTCTTCCGTTAATTATCTTCATTGAACGAATTAGTCGATGCGATTTGAGCAATTTGAAACAAAACTATACGAATTCGGACTTGACCTACTAATTTTTCACACAATTTTCAAAATGATTTCTATGAAATCGAACGCAGTTGAACGAAATTGAATATTAATTTGGTTCGAAATTCGAATAAATTTGAATGTGAATTGGATATTATTTGAACGAAACCGAATGAATTGATGGACTATTCAAAACTCTAGAATGAATTCAAAGTATTCAAAACTCTCAATCAGAATGATATCCAAGTATCCATTGTATGAAAATTACAGAAAAACGGAAATCATCAAGATTTGACCTAAAAATATCGATCATTTAGAAATAACTGATAAAAACGGTACAAATTAAGATAAAAATCATTAAATATTTTCATGATTGCCGGAAACATAATGAAAAATGGTCAGATCGTATGAAGTTTCGGTATTTTCGGCTGAATTCCTACAATACATATTTGGTGGCTTTTGTACAGAGATTCTAACAAATTGTGTAAAATATATGAGCATTCATTAGATGAAGATCTGGTTTGCGTCGATATCTCACGGAATTATCGAACATTTGTATTTTTTTTTTATCAAAAAACAATGATCACTGACCAAGAAAATCCATGTAAAATGATCAAATTCAACAAGATATCATGGTAATTACTTGAAAGTGGACATGGTATTACGGTATTTAAGTATGCAATCGCCCCAAATCAACCGATAAAGGGCTTATAAAATGTGAAAAAACCAATTAATTCAAAAAATTACAGACAACGATCGATCATGGTGAAAATGAATGGAATTTTTGAATCAAAAATGAAGAAAAATTATCAAAACTTTTCGATTAATCAATCAAAATCACTCAATTGCGAAAAAAGCAGCAAAATGATCGAAAAGTGATAAAAACAGGCTTAGAAAAAAAAGTTTCGTTCAATGAGTGATCTAGCTTCGTTCAAAATTGCATTTCAAATTCCCACAATTACAATGAAAATAACCTTAACCAAACAAAAACAAAATCAAGATCAATAACGATGTCGATTCGCGTGAGTCATTGACTCATTGTTTCGGCCGGAATGAAACAAAGTTGGCAAACCGGAAGCAAACAAAGTGCTTAATGCACTGTTGCACTAACTGAATGTCATTTATAATTCCATTTCATTCATTGCTTCATGTGAATTCCATTTCGAACGCGAAAATGATTTTTCAATTACAAGCGATAAATCTCTGCTCAAAATGCACAATTTTTTAATTAATTTTCCAATTAATGAATCCGTTAATGGTTTCAACAACAATAAAAACTTTTCAATGAACCCGTTAAAAGTGAGCAGGTAAATCGGCGTTAAAATTCTTAATCGAAATGTTTTTAATTGAATTTGCAATTAAAAAGAAGTGTCTACACACAATTACACCGACCTCAAGTGAAGTAAGTGTTTCGAAACGTGCTAGAATTTCTTTGACGGAGATTTTCGGTTCGATGGGTTCTTCGACGATTGTTTCCATTCGTGAGACAGATCCGGAGCTGGCGACACTGGTTCGACGGGTTTTGCTTAGAATGAATGGAACATTTGGTGAGTTGTCTTTGTGCTTGCCCTCTTCAACGAAATCCGAAGCGCCGGCGGCAGTAGAAGAAGAAGAAGCACAATAATCTGATGAAGAACTAGCGGTGGCAGTCGAGGTGACAACAGTATTTGGTGCACAATCGTTGATAAAATGATTCGGTTCGAATTGACGATAAGCACAATTTCGATTTTCACATAGTCTAGCGGCCGTTTTTTTCCGCACAAGTTCAGTGATGATGGGTTTTTTACAGTCTCTATTCGGTGTATCGTTGAAATACGGTTCGTAGATGCTCTCTTGTGCGTTTGAATCACTGTCCCGATCTTTTGAATCACTAATTGAATCACACTGTGACAATGAGTCCGATTGTTCGTTGTCAACTTCACCTCCGTCCTCGTCGTCGTCGTCGTCAATGTCACACCAACTATCTTGACTCGAATTGTCACTATGATTCGGCTCCGAATCGGCCAAACTGTCGAGCGATGTGGATCGATGCAGTGTTTGATTTTGTGCACTTTTGGCGATTGGAATCGGGCTTGGCGTTGCAATCGTCTCGAAACACCTGTAACTACTAATGTTATCATGCCACTGCATTGTTGTTGCGGCTTCTGCTTGTTGCTGTTTCGTCGGTTTCTTGCGTTTAGATTTCGATATTGGCGGCGGTGGCAATGCTTTTGCTAATGACTCTTGTAACGGTCCCATTCCGATTCGACCGATACGTTATGATGGACGCCGTGTGTTTGTGTACGTTGAGCGTGTGTGTGTGTGTGTTTGTAAAATGCGGGCGCTCAATCGATCGATATGCTTCGGTTCGTCTTCGTCTTTTCTTTCGTCTGATTCTGTTTTTTTTTTTGGTTCGTTTCAACGTGAAACAAAAAAATTATTAATTGCCGTTTTTCTTTCGTTTCGTTCCGTCTTGAAATGGTGGATCGTTCAGTGCGATCGCCACAAAACAGCCCCAATCATTGTTCGGACGCAAACACACTGTTTGTGTTAATTCAACAACATAACAACAACAACAAAAAAAACTCATAAATTTTTCTCTCGATGTTTCTGATCGACTGATTACATGAGAGGCTTTGGTTTTCTCTTTGAACAACGAAAAAAAAATAATATTGCACTTCGTTTCATGTAGCGAGAGAAAAAAAAACGAGTAACGGATTTCAGTCCATTGTTGCACTTGCGCTTCCAGCAAATCACAAGTCGGAACCATACTATAATTTAATCATCATGTTTGAACAAACATAAATATATCGCTTTAACGTTCGAATTGCGTGAAATTATTGACCAACATGTATTTCTTTCTATTTTTTTTTGTTTTTCTGTTCGTTTTTATCACAAAACTGGCATTTTGCGCGCACACTCGTTCCAAACATTCCTTTTCGAATTCAAGTAGCCACCCAAACTGGCTTTTCACACTGATTTCTCCGCACGATACCACTTCTTGGCATCACTTTTCTCTTCGACAAACTCTTTTCTACTGATTTTTTGCGTGATTTTTGTTGTTGTTCACTTGTGTATCTTTCGGCTTTTCATCTGATTCTTTTTGTCGCTTATCACAAAATTGGATCTCGCGGCTTGAAAAATGTTCTCAAATTGACGAGACAAAAAAAAAATGTTTTGGGTGATTTACTGAAATTTCGATTTATGTTAAATGTTGGCAATTTAGATAACACATTTTTCTTTTGTCCGACCATACGAATGGGCATGCATTCGATAGAAACGACAGCAGAGATCTGGTTTCAAATACGCTATCGTTGACTGCGTTCGACTTTTTTTTCTTTCTTTTTTTTCTCTCTTTCTAAGTAAGGCGATCCGTCACTTTAACAAACTGGTTTCGGAACAAGAGAGAGACGTCTCGTTGAATGTGTGTATGTGAGAGTAAGACAGAGACCGCTCAATGCTCATTTGATACCATAAACATATACAGTATTTGGGTCAAACACTTTATTTTGCACTCAACAACAACACCAATGCGAAATTAGAACAAACGCATTCGTCTCCCGACCACACACTGTACGCTGCCCTCAAACAGTGACACAATAGGCCGCTTTTAACGTGTGGCTCAAATTTTGTGGCTTTTCAATGAGAGTTTTTCGAGTTAATGAAAAATACCGAAATTTTCTCCACTTATGAAATGTCTCGAAAATTTATGGGCCATCATTAGCGCTGGATTAACAGATAAGCAGAATTATATTGAAATTTTTTTTGGACTTTTCGAAATGGAAGGTTGTCTACTGAGGTTCAAATGGAAAACTGTCCACTTAAATTCTAATGAATAAACGATTATCCAAATGATTTTGTCGGCTTTTTACACGAGAAACACACAAATTAGTTGTTTAAATATTGTTGATTGCGTGTTTTAGGTCTTTTTGTTGAGTTTTTTTTAAATCTTTATTCTCGTCAAGTATTTTTCACATCTGCTACACTTTTCAAGCAATTTCGAAAGAAACACTTTATTAAAGTTCACGTTTTGCATTCATTTCCATTCAATACAATGCTTTGATGTATCATTGAATCAAGCTACTGTATAGTTTATTGCGTATTATGCAAGCTTTTCTGTATCTCTTCGAATTAAATCAATCTTTTGGTTTCGATGCGATTCCAAAAAGGTCGTGAAATGCAAAATTTTTCACTAAATCTTTTTATCAACCCTGTATTCTTCACCTCAGTCGTCATTTAACTCATGTTAAATTATTTAAAAATTCACTAAATGTGCAAACGATTCAGCACATCTACATCAAATGAGGTGTTTCGAAATGTCTTGATCTGATTTCCAAATGGTCTTGAAATTTTATTTTTGAAATTTCATGATTTGATGCTAATTTTAGTCAGATGATGTTGAAGCTCATCATACTCTTCAGATTTTAGTCCAATCACTTTCAAATCACGCTGTTGATTTGGTTTCAAATCATCGAAAAGACACAAGTTTTGCTAATTTGCACACGAATGTTTTTCAAAATGTTCATCGCCACTTGACAAGTTATTTAGTTCTTGACGACTTTTTTTCAGATTTTAACCGAATTTCCACTTCAAAATCTTTAACTTCCACCAAAAATGTTCCGTGACTATGCACCTGTTTGGGTGGTCAGATGCGGTCGAGTGTCGAAAAGTGACTAAATGTCGAAAAAGTTCGGAACACTGGACACAAGAAAAAAAAACAACCAACGAACAAGCGCACACAAAGCCAAAGTTCTGTTAAGCGAGTGTGATAATAAAATTCCAAACCGACAGCAAGTGGCTGACTGACACAAGTGAGCTCGGCTTGACTCTGTTGCGTGTTTACAAGTGAACAAGTCAGCCGAAGCGCAAAAAATTTGCGCAACGAATGAAGATGGAAAGGTAAATCGGCAACAACAGCAGCAGCAGCGGGCAACAAAACGAATGAATTCACAAATGCTTTCTACGAATCGCTTGCAATTTGGATCTTTGTTGTGTGGTTCATTTTGTGCTCGCTTTGTTGCTTGTTTTGAATGAAAATTGTGCACTACACATGCAAGTGCAACGTTATTTCTCGTTAAATTGTTGCCGTTGTCGTCGTTATTGTTGTGGTGATGGTAACGCGAGCCGATTGTTGCATCAGATGGTGAATGAAGAGTAGCAAAATGACAATCAGAGCGTTTGTACCTTTTGGATAATAAACAACAAAAATGGGCTTTAAACAGGCACAGACTGCTTTTATAGATCAGTAGTGGTACTCTATTTTACAAACAGCGCACCAGCAAAACGGTTTCTTGACATTTCGATCGATTGCAATTGCATTCGTTATTCCCCTCATTCGATAGAGAATATATATCGGGAACATTGTATTATTGCAAACATATAAACGATTCAAATCGGCACGAGTAACTGTTTAATTGAACGCAACCAAACGATTTCTGAAGAATAGCAACCGATGATGATGATGATGCTGCTGCCAATGCCAAACGCTGCTAATTTTCCATTCCACTTCGTCAAGACTCGTTTGTTTATTAACGAGAGACAACAACCAATTCAATAGATAACATTTGATATAGTTGATGCGTACGAAACCGCTTTATAGAACTGAGTCCAATGGGAGAGAATCAGAAAGGATTTCACGAATTTTGCGAATGAAAAATTCAGATATGTGCATTTTTAAGTTGACAGCAGTGCAATTTGCTTAAATATCATATATCTATTTAACGGACCTCCGAAACGAAAATTTCGAATCGCAACTCAGTATTGGTCAAAATTCGTAAAAAAAGTCTGAAAAATGAGCCAAACGTGTGTGACTCACACACATTTTTGTTCAAAGCACTCTGTGTTTTTTCACTTTTTGAGGATTTCTCTGCAAAATTGTATTGTTCCGACACAGTTGATCACATTAATTGAACAAAATCAAAGAATGGTCGAGAACAAAATTGAGTTTTTGCTCAGAAGAAATGGCTTTGTTTCAGTTTCTCATCAGTTTTCTGGATCATTTCTGTCAATAATAACGCGAATTAACGAGAAAACTGCAGTACTCTCAGATTTAACAGAAAATTATCATTCTTGAAAGAAGTTTCTTCCATTTCTCATGGGAACAATTTAATTCGAATTCTTTTCAGGTTTGATTTCATATATGAAAAAAGAGCCAATGTATATTGGAATCCCTATTGGAAATGAAACAAATTACTCAAATGAAAAAAAATTGTTCAAATGAAACATTCACAATGAGCTGCTATTTCACCATTGCTTCAATTAAATTCTCAATAAACCGAATAATTCTTCTTCAGACTTGGTGTTCATCGGATGGTTTTTCTCAATTATTTTCCCAACCACGCATGAACAAAATGCATTTCCAAAGAAAACAGCAGCATTAGCGCAAGTTAGCTTCTTAACGTGCGAATTCCCTTTTCAACGTGGAAATTCTTCGAAAACATTCTGAATTGAGTTGCAGTCAATTTGACCGACTAAAAGTCCACTTTAAGTAAATCTCAAGCTGGTATCTTTGTCTACAGCTCGTATTTTTCTTTTCCCTTCTCTTTGGAAAAGTCCAAGGTAAATATTTACAAAAACTCAGTGAAACAGTTACATAAACTAAAAAAACAAAACTAGAAGAAGAAATAGAGACAGAAAAAAAAGCAGCAGCCCAACTTTAATTCACTTTGTCTATTTGCTTGTTTGTTCGACGAGTAGTGAAGCAAATTTCTCGCTTTTTGATTGACGGTGTTGATAATTTGTCAGAAAAATGTGTTTAATTGACTTAATGGGTTCATTTAAATACGTGTATCGTTTGGGTCATTATTCGGCTTTGGTTTTCTTTCGTTTGGGCTGTATGCGTTCCATGATTATGGGTTATTTTCGTTGGCGTAGAGTTTTTTTCTTCTCTCATTTCAACCAAAGCAAAAAGTCTTAACCAGCACAGAAGCCATCAATTTCTCAAAAGGCAAACCTGTTAATTAAATTTAGAGAAAAAAAACCCAGCCACAACTCGTTGCCAACACAAATTAGTCAAACGAAATGAAAACAGAAAGGAAAATCGTCGAAGTGTTTGGCATTAGATGAAATTTGTGATAAGATTAAGTGAAAAATGCTTCGTTTTGTTGAACACTTTTAATTGCACGTGCAAACAGACCGTGTCGCGATGCCGGAGTGGAAAATTGTACAGTATTTTCCCTTCTTCTTCTTCTTCTTTGCCATTTTCCATATCGTGAAAACTATCGCGAAAGACAATGTTAAAAATGAAATCTAACATAGACGACGACATCGTTGTTGATCTTGTAATTTACTTTTAATTTTCTACAATTAACAAACAGTGAAACGGGCTTACCTTTTTGAATTCTTGACAGAATGTCTGGATCATGATTTGAATGGCGGTGGCGCGTGGTGCATGAAGAACGATGCGATTTCCATTCTTAAGATTGAGCTGAAGGGCAGCCGGACGTGGAAGAGTAATAGCCCCTTGCAAATCGGCCAATGGCACAGAACGAACAACGCTCACGTGTTCCGTTTCACGACGCGCCAAATAGACGCCACTGTGTGAAACGGCGAGCAATGACACTTCAGGGAACTGCGGTGAACCGCTGACAATGAACAATCTTGCGAAATACAATGGCCAATTGCGGGCCATATCGATCAAGTGACGCTTTACAATGGCACGAACTTGTTGTGTTTTCACCGTTTCCGCATTGACACCGTGGCCACTGAGCAAATTCAATCCGTTGCGTTTTTCCTGCGGTGAAATACGCAAACAGGATGTTAAGCCCAGAACATCGCCGGCAACTTGAGCAAAAAGTAAATCAAGCGCTGCTGGTGAACTGATCGATTCCGTTGGATGGAACACTTCTTTGCGGACGCGTAATTTCCATGGCACACGATTGTAGGTCAAACAAGCGGCGGCCGGTAGTTTGGTGACCGGTGGCACAGGCGCTGGTGGTGCATTTGTGTGCCATTCCACATCGGTCATGTCATCTGGTTTGTCGGTGCTTTGCGTGATCTGGGTCGATGCCGAATTCTTCCGCTCGCGATCCATTCGTGCCATATGTGTCTTGAATGTGGCCCGTTCGATCATTTGCGCCGGGGATTTTTTAATGGCTTTTTCTTTTTCGAAAATTGCTGCTTTGTTTGAAGTCGACGATGGTTGATAGACCTTCTGACTTTCACGTTCTCGTTCGACTTGCTTCATTTCATAGATTCGATCGTGTTTCTCACGCTCCTTCATACGTTCACGGGTGTCACTTTCGCCCTCAACTTCATTTCGATCCCAAACCGATTCACTGAAATTCTCACGATCTCTCGAGCGGGATCTTGATCTGGACCGAGGTTCACGGTCATTCTTCTCCTTTTTGTGATCATAAATATCGTGTTTGGCGGCTTCAGCACGGCCCCACGAATCGTATGTGTCTTTTGACACCTCCGAACCATTCCAGTTCTGTTGCTGCGACTGATGAATACCAAATGTATCGCGTTCATGACGCTTCTGGTAGAATGATGGAATCTCTTGTTGTTCCGGTTGCTTTGCCTGTGAGCCGGGTATTGGTGGCGGTGGGAATTTTGGAGCCGGTGGAATTACACCTTTAGCTGCTTCCATTCGTTTGACTTGCGTGCGAACAGACGGCAAATCGGGTTCGTCCAATTTATCATTGGATCCAAAGTGTCCGCTCAATGCTTGCTGCAACATCATTCGACGTGCATCTTCCAATTTTGCTGGAGTACGTTGATTTGATTCCGTACTTGTTGTTGATCGCACCGAATGTCCGGCGGTGACTTGTTCAAGGCGTTGTCTCATCTCTGAACTCAACTTCAATTTACCCACGCTTCCAGGTGGTGGTCGTTCGGCGCCAATTTCGAAACTGCGACGAGCGATTTTTGTAACAACAGCCGTTGTTGTGGTCGTTGCTTGAATGGCATTTTCTTGACTGAATTTTCGTGGATTTTGCTGTAGGACTGGTGTGCTGGTTGCACTGATGCCATTCTTTACAATGACATTTTCCACCTCGAGTTCATCCCATTCGATCTGTGCGCTCGAGCCATTTGGCGAACTTGTATTCGATTGTGGAGTGTTTTTACGTTGATTCTGTCGCATTTTGAATTCCATGAAATTTTCATCATTTAGTGCTTGATCCTTTGGTGGCCACACCCATTTGCCGATGCGAACGGTTTTAGCACGGCCGTATGGATCGAGGAATGGCCGCGAACCGGATGGATCGTTGAATTCAATTGGTGGCGGCATCGGCGGTGGAGGCGGAGGAGGAATGTGCGAATTACTCTCGGCTGATGATTTTCGATTTCGGTCGAAGTCTCCATTGAATGGTGATGATGATGTACGAGATTTGAAACTCTGTTTGCGTTGAGTTATCTTCGAACTTGATGCAGATCCAGAGTCTTGTTGACTTAACAACGTTTGCAGCGCTTGATTTTGGGCCAATAATTGCTGCTGGATTTGTATATTTTGTGCCATTGCTGATTGCAAGAATGCTCGTTGCAAATCTGTTTTGTCAACCGATGAGGTTGATGTGAAGTTTTCGGGATTGGTGCCCATTACAAGCACTGGATTTAGTTTTGATGGCGCTCCATACCCATTGGATGAGCTTTGTGTCTGATGCGCTGTTCCACCGCCCTTAATCGAATCAGCCAGTTCCGTCTTTTCGGTCAATCGCTTCAAGGAATCATTCACGAAAATAGGTTGGAAAAGCTCTGAAATTTGAAAAGCAGGTATTAAAATGGTGGAAAAAATATTAAAAATAGAAAAATATTTTTTTAACATAAAAAATCGTGCTTCTCAGTACTAGGGAATATTGTTTCGACTTCAAAATTGAATTTGAGGACGTTTAAAGCAATAAATATAACTTCACAATTTCAGAGTTCAAATATGAGTTCAATATTCGAGTAACGCTTCAAGTTAAGTCAAAAAAAATTAGCAGAAAATTAACAAAAAATTGTTTCAAAATTATTTGCAATTAAATTGAAATTTTTATTGAATAAAATCGAATGTTTTTCAAATAATTTTTTTTTTGTATACTCCTTTAAATAATTTTCGGTCTTTTTGAAATATGAACAAATGTAAGATTTCCTTACACTGAACGCAGCGAACTCAGCAATGTAGCGAGCTCTGTAATGTGAGAGCTGTCAAAAAAATTTCTGCAAGTGAATTCGCCAATTTATTAGGACTGGTTCACACTGATTTCTCTGTTTTTCGCTATAATCGTTTGATGTCAAATGGACCGAAATATAAGGAGTATACTATTTCAAAACAGAAATCTCACCTGTGATATATTCATCTAATGCTGTAGCATTATTGAGTTCCGCTTCTTGGCTTTGCTTTTCATTTTCTTTATTGTCATTTTTATGGCCGCCACCTTTGATTACGCGATGTAATTTATGTGCTGATTGTAAATCGTCAAAATCGGTATCAATTTCGGGAGCTTCAAAGAAATCAGCTCGACCGCCACGAATGCTGGTTGACAGCGAACGGGCATCGGATAATTCATCCAAAGAACCGTCCAAAACTGGACTGAACAAATCATCCAAGTATTGATCCACATCGGAAAATTGATCAACATTCGATGGTACACGAACGCGACGCACATGGCTTGCAAGCGATGGAGCTTCACTTGTGTCTGGAATTAGGAAACATTTATGAGAAAAATGTCGAAGGCATTGGTCTTAAAAAAAATTGAATTAAAATTATTTAAATTGTATAAAATAAAATGAATTGAATAAAAAATTAAACGAATTTTAATTTTGGTAAATTGGATTTTTTTCCCAGAAATTTGTAAGTTGAGGAAAAAAAAAGGTAGAAATTCAGATGAAAAAAAAAATTAAAGTAATTAATTGATGAGAAATGAAGTAAACAAAATTAAATTGAATACAAATAGAAACAAAATCTCATCATAAGGAAAAAATGATACAATTTTTGAACGTAACATTCGAAATGAAAGAAAAATTTATCTAAGGAAAATTGAAATTAATTACGGATATTTAAATTAAAAAAATGAAGTATTTCGTAAGAAAATGTGTTATTTTTTCAGTTATTCAATAAGGAAATAAACGTATAATTTTTCATACGTAATTTCGTCTATGCTAAAATTTTCGAGTAAAGTAAAGCAATGAAAATTTCTATTCTTCAAGATAAATAAATAGAATAAAAATGTCTAATGTCTCACCTGACATCGCCGATGAACGTGTGCCATAATCGCTGCGTTCCATGTATTTGTTCGAATGCCCAGCGGAGCGTCGTCCAGCGTATTTCTGATATCTTGGTGTTTCTCTCAATGGAGCCAATCTTTCAACTGAGTGATATCTATCGTTTAATCTGCTTTCCGACAGACCCAATTCAGCCAACTCTTCATTTTCTTCGTCTTGTTCAGCTTGTGATATGACCTCAGCACTACTGTCAGCGACACTTTCCCCGGCCAATAAATCGTCCATTGATTTCGATCGTGTCTTATCGCTATCAAAGTATCGGTCATTGAGTGCCGAATTACGTGACAATAAATCATGTGATGTTTTACGTTGAACGCCCTCATAATTGCGACCACCAAATTCGGGTTTATTTTCAACAACTGGTTGTGGAATTGGTTGTTCGGTCACAATACGTTCATTGGTAGAGTGACGTTTCATCGGTGGTTCTGGTGGTGGAATGTTTGGTCGTTTTGGATTTGGGCTCTCAGGCTCTTGAGCAACAGCAATTTTCGAATTCTTACGTCCGCATCGCAGCAAATCGCTTCGAACGGTTGGGAAAGCGGGACAAAGTTCCTTTTCGGAAATCAAATCCAAAACAAAGTCTAATCCATTGGAATCGGATACTAGTCCGGAGTCATCCAAAACAACGGTCCATCCTTGCGGTGGCACAGCTATGGAAGAAAGTGCGAGGGCAGCTGCCTCTTCGCATGTTGTCCATGAGTCAATAGCCACGGTTTGTGTTGCCTCATCTGGCAACGTCAAACTCAATGCAATATCGGAATTACGGGCATTGGCTCGCCATTCAAGCCAAGTTGGTGGATACAAACGACTTGTGATCAACTGTGATCCAGAGTTGCGAAGAAGTTTCCTCAATAGCGACTCTTTGATTGACGTCGGAGCATTGTCTGCCACGAATTTAATCAAGTATTTATGCAAAGCGTGTCCAGGTTGGAACGATGACAAACAATGGCCCATGAGTTGCCAGACGCGAAGCGATTGTGATTCGTCCACTTTGTATACTTGATTGCAAAGCTGAACGAAAATTTCATCACGAACGCTACGTGACGATAGGCCTTTGTGTACAATGTAATCGGCGAGTGCCTTCTCTTTGGCAATGTCCAAATTTTTGTCGTTAGCCCAGCGCAAGATGAGCTTGAACACGGCAAGTGAGCTCTGGAAGTCTTCATCCCGCGATGCAGCACGTGATAAAAATGGTGATGTGATTGGATCGCGTCGAGGTGCTAATTTCACACCATTACAATAAACCGAACTGAATTTACCGAAAGCAAATTGATCCAAATCGCTGGGTAAATCGAATGTATTCGGTGGCCCAGGAACAGTTCCAACCACTTTAACCAAATGCCTATCGCCATGCAACGAACTCCAACCGTCCAATTTCGAGAAAATGAATGCCAATTCAGCTGGTACATCCAATTGAACCACATGACTCCGTTCTTGTTCAGCAGCCACAGCTTTTTGATGGCGCTCTCGTTGCGCACGCTCCACATTCCGACGTCGTTGCAACTCTGCCTTGAGTTTTTGATACATTTTCCGTTGTCGTCGCCCGCGAAAAAGTGCTTGCAATTGAACGGTACCTCGTTTCAAATTGTGATAACGTTTTCGATCGCGATAGCCCTTCCAAGCCGATTGAATCTTGGTTGCGGCGCGCTTGCGTCGTCGTAAATGCTTTTTGGACAACATTTTGCGAACGTTTCGCTGAATAATAACGGCCGCATCTCGTTGACGTTCACTTCGATTGGTCTCCAGCACACGATGAATTGCCTCACGAAGGAAGACTCTCGTAGCACCAAGTTGGAAATCGGGTCCATCAACACCCGTAGCTGGAATTGTTTCTAAAACGCTACGGCACAAATCACGATACGGTGTTCCACGTGGCAATGGAGCCTTGAGCATGTGACGATACCGTTCTACAAAGTGTTGGAAGCGTAATCGGACCGGGTAGCCTTTTTGTCGAATACGGATCGTGTCGAGCATTCCCAAGTAGCGAAGTTGTTGCAAAACACATGGCATATCCATTCGAAGAGCGTGTTTTTCATTGTTTGGCTTCACACAGCGAATGAACCATGGATTGCATTTGGCCATCGATTGCAATAAATGTTGCAATGAATCGGAGAATCGAGCAGCAACCGTTGGTGTGCGTGGCTTCATTGTTACAAAACGGCCATTTGCTCCTTTGGGCAGAGACTTTGAATTGTCTCTTTGAGCACGCAACTGTTTAAAGATCTCTTTCATAATTGGAAGATCGCTTGACGACAGCAACTCAAGCACATCCGGCCGAACGGCATCACGGTTCTTCTCCAAAAATCCTTCGACATTATACCAAACTTGACCGGCATAATGGGTTACACCGAACTCTTGAGCACCAATTCGTGGACGTGAGTATAATTCATTTAAAGCGTGATTGTAGTGACATTTTTCTAAAAAGCTCAAGTCGCTGGCACGGGGGAAATTCGATTCGTCATCCAACAAGTGGAATATGCCAACCGGTTTCTTTGCAAGCAAATGAATTACCGGCAAATTATCCTCCCATGGCAATGGATTCCATTCCAGACGCTCACGAGCATATTCAGCTTGCTCCAGCTTGAACACATGCTTGTTGAAGTATAATTGAAGATTTTCATTTGCAAAATTGATACACAGCTGTTCGAAGCTATTTTCGGGGAAGTCTTCGAAACCAAAAATATCAAGAATTGAAATTCGATACGCGTCATGGGTGCCTCCTTTGTGCACTATTGAATTGATACGGGATACCAACCTGAAAAAAAATATTAGAGGCAATCCGCCTAGTAAGCATTTTCTAGGTTAAGAGAACGAAATTTTCGCTTCTTTTTTTTTAAGAATTATCTTCTTGTCTGGTTCAAAAATGTGTTTTAGAACAAAGTGAATAGTTTTCAATACATTGCAAAGCTATGGCTTTGTTTGAACATTTTTTTTAGTAATTTTTTTTGGAAACAATCGAAACAAATTAGACAGTTGTTTACTATTTTTTATGAAAATATGAAGAAAAAAAAGCGAATCGAAGGGAAAAAATTGAAAAATTTGACTAAAACACGAAAAAAACACATTTTCTGACCAGATGCTAGTAAGAAATGTCACCCACCAATTGAAAAGACCAGAATAAAGCACTTTGGCGAATGCATCGCGCGAATCAAGTGCTTGGTCGATGCCTAATGGTGTGTATAAACGTTCAGTTCTTGTTTCTGTGAGACGAGTCGTGAGTACTCTGTGTAAGTCATCGTCTGCTATTTGCAATAAGTGTGCAGCCCACTTCACTTCTGCATCCGAACCCAGTTCAACGCCTTCTTGGCCGTGTCTCAATTGACGACGATGGAAATAAATCTGCAAAATAGACAATTTTATATAAACAAATATCCAACATTTCAGCACAGACCATGTATACAGTTTTACGATCTTACATTTCCCAAATGCAGTACTGACGCTAAAATGCGTATGATTCCATTTTGTTCTTTTTCGGAAACGCCTAAAACTTGCATAGCTCCTTGAAGTGATGCCCAATCAACTCTTCCCGGGCCGCAATCTGAAGCGCCTTGATTCAGATAAAAGTATTTATTGACATCGAGTAATCCATATTTGGAGCGTTCGCTTTCACTTAATCCGCCGAACAGTTCATAAAACACGTGATAGTTTCGTTCGCCCGGTGCATGTGTGACGATTCGTGATTTTTCTAGTAAATATTGTGTGATTTTGGCGCCAACGATGGCACCGTGTTTGAAGTATACTTCGACATATTTGCCAAATCGAGATGAATTGTCATTTCGTGTTGTTCTGGCATTGCCGAACACTTCAAGCAAAGGGCCAGCTTCGAGAATCTGTTCGGTTATAACAGCTGATGCACTGCCACCGCCTGGTACCACCGCTGCCAAATATTGCATCACCAATTTGGTGGATTCAGTTTTGCCAGCACCGGATTCTCCAGAGATAACAACGACTTGTGGGGTGGGCAAAGCAGCATGTGCAGCCGCTGCTATTGCAAATAAATGTGGTGGCATTGTACCTAATGGCTTTGCTGCATATTTCTTTGCCATTTGAATGCCGTACGAATCGGGAATCATTTTGTACGGATTGACAGCGATCAATATTGAGCCGGCAAATGTATAAATTTGACCGACATCGTAACGAATCCGTAAATTCCATAGTAAAGATGCTTCGTGTAAGTCTTCCAATTGTGTCATATCATCCACGCCACTACTGCCCAGATCCTGGCGTCGCTGCAAACTCCCCTCACCTGGACCCAATGTAAATGTCTGTGGCTGCAAATTGAAAAGAATGTTTTTGGTTAATATGACTGGTTTTTTTTTAATGAAAGTGTTTAAAAATGGTGGAAATGTCATTTCACGAGTTTCGAAGGTTTGCTTGAGCATCAATTGTTCGATAACAAGATTTATTTGTGTGAAATATTCATATTGAGGGAAAACTTTTTTGGATTCTATCATCTTCGGTATTTCGATCAAACTACGGGAAAATTGGCTATTAATCGGTCGGAATGCTCTTTTTTTATCATAAAGAAATGGCTAATTGTACAAAAGGTCCATTGTTTGATAAGAAAACGTTGATTTTCCATCAAAATCTCAAAATTTCCACTCAAACCAACGGTTAATGGTTGAGAAATTGATTTCAAATCTCACAGAAATCCGATTTATATACAAAAATTTGCGATTTTTCAATGGAAACTTCTTCATTCCTCAAAAGTCAATACATTCTGCTTCAATGTTTTGTAATTTTTTGAAGAAACAAAACATTTTTCCTTGTCTGCAACATTACATTCTATTGGATGCATTCAAGTTTGAATTAATAGTCTCTGTTTTTGGTAAAAAGACCGGCCAATAGCCCACTTTTCATCAAAAACTATAAAAGAAATTTCATTGGGACATTTCTCTATCAAAATTCTAAATCGAATCACTTCAAACCCCACGAAAAAAGAACTACAACAATTCTATATACAAATTATCTATCACACGATATTACATTTCTGGCCAAAACATCGCTGCACAGTACTGTCAATCGTTTGACCATTTGTGGAAGTTTTCGTTTGGAGTAGCTGCTGTGTCGTGAATTGAATGAATGTGATGTGGATCGTTGTTCAAAGAGGTTAGTGTCAATGTTTGATAGGTCGTCGGAGCTTGGGCAGCGTTGTCGTCGCAGTACGGATTCGGATATGATGGGCAATGGCGACACAGACGATGGGCTACTCAAGCCCGATGCAATCGAACCGCCTTTTTGCCATGGTTCCAAATGAAATCGCACAATTCGCATTGAACCAATTTTGTTATTTTATGAAATTTTAGCACATTTTTCTAATGAAAACCCGTAGAATTTTACACTAAAAAATCGCACTAGTTTGGCTTCATCCACACTCTCCAATTACATTGGATCAACTGAGTGTCCCAGTGGAGTGATGATGCACAAACCGTTTCAAAGCATTAAAACCGTTGTGTGGAGAGTGTATCGGAATGCCAGTGAAAAAAACTTGAACTTGCTTACGAGAGAATCGACTAGTCTAAAAGAGAACGGATTGCATATATGCGGAACTCTAATAATAATCATCATCATCATCAACAACATGGCAAACGACGGTTTATATTTCTTCTTTTTCTAATACCTACTTTAACTGGACATTTATTGCATACACATATATGTACGAGAACGATACACATATTTTCATTGTGATGCAGCGCAGACACGATGTGAAGGTTACTCACATTTGCTCGGCGAACGAATGCACGAGCTAGTTTCTCTGTGTAGCGGCGAGTTGGCGGTCGGTATGACGCTTTTTTTTGCGGAACAATTGCAGTCATGTGTGAACACTATGCGATTAGAATAGGCCAGATCAAGAGAGCACGAGGAAAAGAAACGAGCAATGCAAAGAGTATGTGAATTTTTAGCATGAGAAATTTTCATTAAATTTTCTTTCGAATTAGAAGAAGTACGGTCCTGAGTCTCCCACCTCCCTAGCCGTTGAACCAAATAAACAATGCGGAAATCCTACACAATGGAAAATTAAACGTTTGTCATTGGCGACGTTGGTTATGTGCAGAAAGTAGGTGGCTTACGGTGCATCGACGAGTTGAGAAAAAAAATTGGTTTCATTTCACAAACAAATATCGATAGAATGCATCGGATCTGTTTTTTTTCTTCATCGCTGCCAGCGATCAAAACACGATGTTTACGATGAAACCTGACACTGTATGCAGGCATGACTCGGCTTGAGAGGTTTCTGAGAAGTAAACAAACGCTACAACGGAGAGGAAAGACAAATAAGGCAGAAACTGGTTGAATAAATTAAACCTGATTCGCCGTTTCAAGTGTTATGAAATTCATTTGAATTGCTTCCGACCGTTTCATCACTCCGGCCCAACGAATGCATCTATCTCGACCGTTTCGATTAGAAGAACCTGCAGCACAAGGTGCTGCCACTCCGAAAACATACACACACACATATCGATGGGAAATGTCAAAGTGAAACGAAGTAAATTGCTTCTTAGCTTGCAATCAACACGCAGCGCACACCGCTTCAGTCTTCTAATATGCTTTGAGCATACGACTTTCGAATTAAAGTTGAAACATTTGAAATAAAACAGAAGAAGAAGAAAAAACGTGAAAAACTCCAATTTCAAGCGACGAACGAATCCAAAAGAATGCATATTAAATGTCACAATTTGTAAACAAAGACCATAAATTGAACGACAACACCAGATCGCCGAGTCGAAAACGATGGGAGAATTTAATCGGATGCGCGCGCTCTTCCAAGGCAAACCAGTTTTTGGTTCACAAGAAACAACCAGAAAAAAAAACAATAAATTTGTACACATCGAATTCTTCACTTGCACACACCGAAAACAAAACAGAAAAACCACGTAAATTCTACACATCAAATAATACACCTTTTACGGCAAACTTCTTTATTTTCAGTGTACGGCGTTCGCTCGCTCTCTATATCGCTTCGTATGTGTTGACATTTGCGATGAACGAACCAACAAATATAATATTAACGTTTCGATTGCATCACATCAATTCACACGGAATTGTCTTTTTTTAGAGGAAGGAATAATTTTTTCTTTGGAATAGAGATTTTTTTAGATGAGAGCTTTCTATCCAAATTTAGAACGAGGAATTGACTTTTTTTCGCATATTTCCTATCAATTTTAGGATTAATCTTAATTGGTCAGACATTATTCTGTCTTCTGATCAATTTTATTACTCGCAAATCATTGGTATCGTAAGTTACGAATTTTGTTACAAAAAACGGAGGATCGAAAAATTCGTTCCAATCGAAATGAATGAAAACATGTTCTTCACCAAAATTTCGACCGTTTGACGGAAGAATCATTTTATCTCATATTCATTTTCGGAATGAGAACAAAAAAAACTCATAAAAACCAACAGGGCAGTCTCCGTTCACTTGATTAGTCTGCTTCTTATCAAAAATGTGTGTATACTATACACTGTAGTATACAAAGAAAAGTATATCAAACATAAATTATGTTACATATTTAGTTTTCCAGTGAAAGAATATGAATTTTGTGTAAGAAACTTTGGTTTTGAACCGAAAAAATGTAAATTTTTCAAGAAAATAAAAATAAAAATTCTTTCGGATTGTGATTGGAAAACTGGTTTCGATTAAAAACAGTGGCATCTTTACAAAAACAAACGATCTCTTCGGGATTAAAACAGTTATTCTATAGGTAATACTGATTCCTTCTACGGTGACGATATTCTTTTTAAATGTTTATCATTTATTTCTAATATTCATCATTTATTTGTGTCAATTAAAAAAAAATCAAAATTTTTTCAACACAATTTGATTCATTGAGAATCACAAAAGGGAAAAGAATGATATGAATATATTGAATATTGAAAATCAATGAATATTTCTTCATCAAAATTTTAATTTCCACACTAATAATCGATGAGTGTGACCTACCAAAAAAAAGTTTTTCCGAAGAATCATTCCCAATATTAATATTGCTCACAAATGATTTTTTTTATTATCGAACAATTTTTGGCTCGTAAATCGTAAAACCTGTCTCATTTCCAAATACTTGGAAATGAATTCATTTATAGAATGTATAAATTCACTTACTTTTCCATTGATAACAGCTTGAACGATGATGACTTGTGCGGCACGATGTACTTCTTGGATTTCGCCGGGTAATGGATGTAAAAAGTTGGTATCAGTAAACCAGACTAAGTCTCCCTCGGACCACATGGACTCCATGGTAGCGACAAAGATGCAGTGCGTGTTTTGTCGATGTTTGAGAATCTAAATCGTTGCCACTTCACGACGCATCGTTACAACCTGCGAAAAATAAATAACGAAAATAAATGAGTCGAATTGTAATGTTTAGCACGAGTTTTCAAAATGCGTAAAATGATTTTAATTGAATTATACAAAAAGTGCGACATCGAACATGTTAATAGTTGGTGCGACGGAGCGAGCTCTGCAAACGATCGCTTGTTAAATGGGTTTCGATTGTGTAGTTGCCGTTGTTTACAATGAACAGAAATTCTTTCATAATAATAAGCTATTTTTTCGCTATTCGAACCAGTTTGGCTGGGCAACATTCCATCGAATGTGTTTGCGGTGCAATGACGACGACGACGACGGAGACAACAACAACAACACACTCAATTGGTGCGGCAACAGCAGCGACAACGGCGACGATCGAAAAAATTATGTGTTCAACACACGCCAATCCAATGGAATTTCGCCGTAGGTACTTTCATAGCATATTTTCTTTACCTGACTCCGCCACCATTTAGCTGCCACTTCATGCAATTGCACAACGTGCAAAAATTTAATTTAATAAATTATCCGAATGAAAGAAAAAAAACCCGATTATTTCGATCTGGGAGAAAATTAATCGATTTTGGTTCAGCCATGGAATGTGTGTGTGTGTTGATTGTCATCGTTGAAGTGTATGCGGCGGTTTATGAATGAAAGGCCCTTATGGGCTTCTTGCAGCCACAATGCTATGGCATGCAAATCAAGCGCGCGAATAATAAAACTCTACAAATTTCCGCTCGTTTCTTTTCAGCATATCAATTTTTTTTTCTCTTTCGTCGATACGCAAAAGAGATACGCCGCGGTTGAGGGGCCGAGTAATATAACGGTAAATTCCGTGAAATGAGAAAGGTGTACCACACGCTTATTTGTGAATGAGCCCGTCGTATGCTTCTTATCATAATAATTTTACGCAACTCATTGATTTCGCTTTGTTTCAAACTCATCAATTTGCTGATTTGGCCCAACGTGAAACGAAAAATTATACAAGAAAACTATCGTTTTTTTTTTCGTTTTACATTGAGCAAACTACAGGTGGGCGAATTCGCGAGTATATACTCTCATACTCACTCATTTCGAAAATGAGTATGTCTCGACATACTCTCATACTCATAGATACTCTTTGAGTATGAGAGTATATACTCAGAGTATATACTCTTTGATCTTGAGTATGTCTCGACCTACTCAGTTTTTACCCAAAGAGTAACTCTACACCTACTCTTTTTCCTACTCTTTTTCATACTCTTTTTCCTACTCATTTGAGTATGTCTCGACATACTCATTTTTTACCCAAAGAGTAACTCTACACCTACTCTTTTTCCTATTCTTTTTCATACTCTTTCTCCTACTCATTTGAGTATGTCTCGACATACTCATTTTCAATTGTTTTTCTCCTCAGAAAAAGTTATATATCCTTTATATATTTTTCTTAGGGAGGGAAAACGAGTGAGTAAATGTAGAGTTACTCTTTCGCAAAAAAATGAGTAAGTCGAGACATACTCAAATGAGTCGGAAAAAGAGTATGAAAAAGAGTATGAAAAAGAGTAGGTGTAGAGTTACTCTTTGGGTAAAAAATGAGTAGGTCGAGACATACTCAAAATCAAAGAGTATATACTCTGAGTATATACTCTCATACTCAAAGAGTATCTATGAGTATGAGAGTATGTCGAGACATACTCATTTTCCGTTTGTATGGGAGTAGGAGTAGGAGTATGAATTATACTCTCTTACTCCGCCCACCTGTAGAGCAAACGCAGCATTTTTGTTGTTTGTCTTCGAGGCAGTCCATTTTTTTACCTGTTGTTTTTATTTTAATCGGCTGATCTAGCCATCATAAATTTAATGATGAATTAGACGATTAATTTCAAACAAAAGGCCACCATTTAGCCGCATCGAAAGTGTCTTTAGCAATTCATCATGTCATATTTTTGTGAGATTTAAATGCAAGCCAGAGAAGAAAAAAAGAAACCGAAAGGGAATTCAGCGATGAAAAAAACATCATCAAGATAAGAAATTTACACTTGATCACATGCCTGAAAAAAACATTGTTGAATCACTTGTTTACGAGCACACCGTTGATTTAGGTCTGTTGTTGTTGGAAATGTTTTTCGTTTCATTATGAGCGCATGCGCGCGATTGTAGTCGATGCAAACCACAGGCATTTTAACTTTAAGAATGTGTGAAACAGGTCAAAAAACCAACAAATTTCACTCCTTATCCCTTCCTATCGCGTTCTATATCTATCCCTCTTTCTCTCATTTTCTCTTTTGATCTTTCGATCTCTTGTTCTCCTCGCGATTTATTTACCTCAAAATCTCTTTCTCGCTCTCTCTGTCTCTCTCTGTCTCTATCTGTCTTTCTCTGTCTGTCTCTGTCTCTCTCTCTCTCTGTATTCCCCTCTCTCAAAATGCAAATCCCGCGACATGCCAACCAAATGACAGATCCCGAAAAAGTGGCAAATCTTCACGGATTCCATATGTTCCGGTTGCAGCACAAAACACGGTTGGCATTTTTTTTCTCCTGCAACATGCATATGGTTTCGATGACCCACTTCCATGACTTGACGGTGCATTGAACTCTGTGTAAAAAAACGCGCGCGTTCGTTCTCATACAGCGACCAAACGACTGCTTTCATCAATATGCATTACGTTCAATTTACATTTGCTTAACGTGAGCGGCATTTTTTGACGACATATCTCTTTTTTACGTTCTAATGCTTCTTGTTTGCACCATCAATTTGCTTCGATTCGCTATTTTCACTACTCATATTCATAATAATAATTGGAAACAATGCGAACAATGCGCGCTGAAAATGTAATGCGGCGGCGCAAACAGAAAATTCTATTCATAACTGTTCGGTCACGATTTCTATGGTGAAGCGAGTGAGCGCGCACAATTTAACAAAAACGCCTTCATTGTTTCGCGAAATGGCTTGACAAACCCGAAAAAAAACCAATCCATTGAGGTACCAAGTAGAACAAATTTTACATACATTTCAGTGTAATTTGATTGCCACATCAAAAGCAGCTTTCAGATTTGAAAATAAATATTTGCCTGGGTTTGTTTTGTCTCGCGCGAAATCTTCGGGTGCGGAGAAGAATGGATTTTGGTTTTTGCAAGAGATTGATTTTAAAAATGCATGATTTTTAATTAATTGGACGGAAAAGTGGCTCATGAAAGGTATTTGAATCAATAATATTTTGCATAGTGTGAACTTTGAAGTGAATTTGAATAGATTTAGTCGATCTGATCGACTCGATTACAATAATTAATTAGTTTAGTATCGGTCGGAATATTTCTCAATAGTATAATTTCAAAATATGTTCTTGGCTCTTTTAAGTGCTTTTGAAACACTTTAGAAGTAAATCTTAAAGAATATTTAGAATGATGTGCTCAAAACTAGGTAAAAACGGCTGAAAATGATTCAAAACGGCCAAAGAGAAAATTGATTGATTCAAGGAAAAGTTAAAGGTTAACTGAAGAAAAACGATAATTTTACATCGGAAGCATGCCGATTTCAACAGGCCAACAATTCAATATACACTAGAAACCACAAAATCAACCGAACCATCGTTGTTATCATCGATTTGCACTTCGTAGAATTTCGAGACCGCCAATTTGCGAGAAATTCACTGCGCACACAAATTGAGCACGAGCTGCGATTGTTATTCAAATTATCGTTTCGTTGTAAAATTGCAATTTTTCGGTCAACCGAAAAGTGATTGGATGAGCGATTTCATGAATGTAGGCCAAGTCAAATGCTAATTGAAACGACGATTTGCATAAAAATCGTCCAGAAAATCGAACGAAAAAAAAGCCGGGGCGTGGGTGACGATAAATCAACCGTGTACACTGAACGCGATTACATTCAATCGGCTGGTTGGTTGGTTTCTGTCTACACTCTACAGCCATGCAACTTTTCCTAGTTTACCATTTTTGAGATCGTATGCGCGCTTTCATTTCATCACAGCAAGAGCGAGAGCGAGAGAGAGAAAGAGAGATCGAACATTGCCCATGTATGTGAAGTTATACAAAAACCATATTTGTTTGTTTCCTTTAATTCAAAAACGTGTAGTTTTGTTGTGCAAAACCAATTATGCAGTTCCATGTAAAGCGATTCCCATTTCGTCTCTCTTTTCCCTCGACTTTTTCTCCATCGCTCCGTTGTTTTCTTGTTTTTCTCTCGCCATCAATCTGAATTCGAATCAAGCGGGCGGTTGTGCGGTTTGGCGGAAATGCCGCTATTGCTTATGCGCAAATGCAAAACAAATGGAAAATGCGTGTTTTTCATGCGCGCTCTGCGCTCTGTACTCGTCCAACGTTTTGTAATTTGATTACAGACATACACACACTTTTGCTTTCAACACACGGCCGATAAAATAGAGAGTTTTGCGCCGTTTTGGTTTCACAGATTTCGATCAGATCTGTCTGCACACAAATGCGTTTAATTTTTGATTGATGCAAAGAATTTGCGAATGAGAAAAAGAGAAAAAAAATTAGTGCAAAAATATGGTAATAACTCACGTCAATTGCTTGCAATAATTTAATTCGAATGAACAATGTTCGAAAAAGCTGTCAATCAAACGTGTGGCCATACTGAAATCTTTGTGACTTTCATTAAAAACCGACACCATTTTTTTGTTCCTCCCGTTACTTTGGATTTTGGGCGATTTTCGTATTGTTCGCTTGCGTTGTGGCTATTGATCGAATGCCGCGAATCGAATTTATAACGCCACTTTTCAATGGCATGCCCAATTGATTCGTTTCGATCATTCCAAAGTTCAATGGCCATCGGCACTATTTTACGTGGTGCTTTTTGGACACGATTTTTTTCTTTCTCTCTCTCTCTCTCTCTCTCTCTCTCTCTCTCTCTCTCTCTCTTCACATTATTTAGAGAGAAAAAAACAATTTCTTTTTTACTTCTCATAACAATTTCAACCCATATTGGTTTGGGAAAAAAAAATCCGAAACCAAAAAATTATAATCATTTTCCGGAGGGCCTTGGGAATGATTCT